ATGAATCAAATTTGTATCTTTATTCATTTACAATAAACTCATAAAGTACATCATTCTGATTGAAGCTAAGGGCATACAAAACTGTCTAACAGGTGCGAAATGCAAACACTTGTAGCGAAGATAAATTGCCCATGGAAACTAGGATAGTGCCATTCAGACCATTATTTGTAGTAGCTAAGATACGAAGATTAGGCAACATTCCAATCTCTCTTGGCACACCACCAGTTAATTGGTTGACTGAGAGTGAAATTTCTTCAAGCTTCCGGCAGTTTGATAAGTTGGGTGGAATCATTCTATCCAACTGATTCCATGACAAGTCGATTCGTCTCAGTCGAGCCAACTGGCCAATTCCATTGGGCAAGTGTCCTTGGAAACTGTTGTTGCTAAGGTCAAGTTGTGCAAGGAAGGAGAGGTTGCAGAGTCGTGGCTCAATGGTGCCTCCGATGCCCATGTTGGCAACTTTTAAGGCGGTGACTCTTTGTCGACGGTGGCTGCAAGAGACGCCCATCCCGTTGCAAAAGGAGGAACTAGTGGTCCAATTGTAAGCCAAGATGTTGTGAGGATCATAGAGCAAGATCCGGGCTTTGAAGGCAAGGAGAGTGGATTGATCAGTGAGGTTTGAGGAATAAGCTGTAACGAGCCACGGCAATGGCATAATTGATAAGCGCAAGCATAGTAGAATCGTAACAACCGAGATGAGAAAAGGCTTTCCCATGGTCATAGCTAGTTTGGAAATTTGAGCTGCTGTACTTCTTAAGTGTGTTCTCATAAATAAATAAATAAATAGGATACAAGCAACAAACATGATCATGACTCCATCTGCAATACATAATCAACAGTAGGCGTTTTGTTTTGTAGCCCTTTGAACCGAGCCCACTCCCACATGACGAGTTGAGCCAATGTACCTTGATGATTCCATGTTTCCTTCTGCAAAATTGTACAATGTGCCTTGTACAATTATTACATTGTACAGTTATGACAACAATACATCTAAGGGGGGGGGGGGTGGAATGACCTTGTTGTGGGCGGTGGGACCCACTCTCACATTACGGCAATGTACTTTGGTTTGGCCGGTGGGGCCACAACAATACATTAAGGGAGAATGACTCTTTAGTCCACCTAAGAATTCTTAACCCCACTGTGCAGGTGGAATGAGTTCTGACCGTGGATCTATGTTGAGTGTATCTCTATAGATTCAATGACGTGATTCACAACATCGCAATTAAAGCCATGATTCACATCAATTTTGGTACCACATGATTCACATCAGGGCTAAAATCGTGAATCATAGCAAATTCCTTTCATGACCGGCTAATTTGGGTCCTATGTGCGTTCCCTTTCTGCTGAAATACCCTTTTCATACTCCTTTATGCATTCCCATTATTAATTTGGATCTTACCATTCACCAAGGAGACTTCTCTCAACGTGTTCCACAATAAAATTGACTTCTCAAAAAAAAAATTAATCAAATTTCTATCCACACGTGATAACAGACAATCTTTTGATATCAGCAACTAAAATAAGCAAATTCATATTTTCATGATACTGGTTCCATAAGAAAGCATTACTGGGCATTTAGGAACTGGGCTTCTACACGTAGGGTTGTAATCGGATGCGATTCAGATCAAATTCAGCAAAATCGGAATCCGATCCAATTATTGAAAATTAACATCTGAATCCAATCCTCAATTCAATTGGATTTGAAGACTTCGGATTCAAATTTCCATCCAAATGGTTTTGCCTCAAACATGGGTTTAATCCAACTCTGTTTTAATCTTTTAAAATACAAAAAGAAATTAAAAATTTAATTACTTTTCAACTTTTATATATAATAAATTAATATAAATATAACATACTGAATTTATTATACATAAATTCATATATAATATAATATATAAAATATATTTTATAATTTGAACATAATTATATAAAATTTATATATTAAAATCAATAAATATTATAATATAATCAGATTCAAATTTTAATAGGATCGAATGTAGATTCTAAAATCCGAATATGATTACATAAATACATCATCCAAATCTGAGATAATTGGATTGGATATTGGATTAGGTCTCGAATTTTTGGGTATCATTGATAGGCCTAACTATGTGTGATCGGTATTCATAAGACCAATTCCGTACAAAAGAATTATCAAAAGCTTGTTGTTCACAACACTGCTTATATTTGATCTTCTAAAAACAATTTTGAGTTTAAGATTTGATATAATCGAATTGAATTAAAAAATTCAAATATCATAACCAGTCAAATTTGGATATCCTATACATACCATTTAAGTAATCGAATCGATTCTAGATATGACTTGATTCATTTTGATAAATATCCAAATTCGACTAATTATTTAATTCTTATATATAATATACGAAATATTTAAAAATTTTATATAATTTATATATAATACTTAAATTATATATTTATATACTTTATATAAACAAAAAAAATTATTGTATATGTTTATTAATTACACCTGACACTTCATTTGATAGAAATCTATTGTAAATGTTTCATGAATGACAGAATTAGTCCTGAGACCTAGACAGATTAGGCAAGGTTGGCTCGACCAAAAATACGATTTAATGGATGATGGAATTGGTCTTGAGACCTAAACATGCTATGTAGGGTAAGGCCAATCAAAACTATGATTTCACAATTTTTCTTCGTAGGGGCCGTTATGATGGTTCCTATGGCCAATTAGGCACCATATGTTATGGGTGAATAATGTAACATGCTTAACAGATGGCAAGTGTCCATGGAAACTATTGTTTCTGAGGTCAAGTTCTGCGAGGAAGGAGAGGTTGCAGAGAAGTGGCTCTATGACGCCTCCGATGCCCATGTTGGCAAGTGTTAAGGCGGTGACTCTTTTGTCTGCGGTGGCTGCAAGAAACACCTATCCAATCACAGAAGGAGGAGTTGGTAGTCCAATTATCAGCCAAGAGGTTGTGTGGATCAAACATCAAGGTCCGGGCTTTGAAGGCTAGAAGAGCGGATTGATCAGTAAGGTTGGAGGAATAAGCTGAGGCGAGCCATGGCATGCATAAGCATAACATGGTAACAATAGCGATGAGAAAAATCTTCCCCATGATCATAATTCATAACCAGGCAGTTATGGCTCTAAGAGTTTGGAAATTTGAGCTGCAGCAAGCCGGCAAGTGTGTATAAATTACAAGCAAGGAAACAGGAGTAAAACTTTTGGTTTTGTAATCCCTTCTACACGTCTTGATTTATTTTTACCTTGTAGTAAACGGATGAGTCCACTCCCAGGTGACTTGTTTTCTTTTTTGAGTAACATATATACATCTCTAAAGATTGGATTGAAATCAGAATAAGTGAATGAAGAAACCAACCATCTGCTCCACTTTTTGTATTAAGACAGACCTAAATACATAAAACGAAAATTCCCAAAACAAAGAATCACTAAAACACCTAAGAGCATGGTTTTCGAACTGTCTTTGGCCCAATTGCCGGATTGTTTAGCCCGGGAATTGTATAGGCAACTGGTTCCATTTTTCTCGAAACCTGGTTCTTGATCAAAAATCATTGAATCGGTCAACAACCTATTGACCCGGGTGGTCAAATCCCCAATCTGTTCAACAATTTTGGCAATTTTTTATTTTTTTTAAACTTTAATTGTCAGAATAGGCCATCTGTTTGAACTGAACGATCGAACCATGAACTCAGAAACCGATGGCCAGAACAATTCCAATTTCATATCGTTTTTTAAAATATTGGCTAAGAATAAATAACTAAATAAAAATGAATTTAGAAACCGATGGCCAGAACAGTGTGTATTAATTAATTAGACCAAACCAGGCCTTGACAAGTAAGTAGCGATAAAGAGTTTTGGAAGGACAAAGGAAAAGGGCCGGGGAAAGACACAAAAACCTGACTATTACGAGTGGCAACTAATTATAAAAAGATGAAGACTTTGACCTAGACTTGCAAAGTCTTTACAACCTGTGAGCGGAACCTATACGGCAAGAAAAAGAGGTTGACCGAGACATCTATAATAGTATACAATCCTTTTCCATCCCAGTGTCCACGCTTGATCGTCTCCGTCTCGGGTATGTGGACCATAGCGCCTAGCCAATGAGAAGTGCAACTTGTTGTGATTCGTTTTTAGCTTAGATCGTCGCAAGATGATAATCTTAAATCTTCTTCTGTGTATTCTTCCATCGTCAAAATTGAACTAAATGTCACAAAAAGTGAAACTAAATGATGCTAAACATGAATCTTTGACAACATTTATTTTACAAATGTCGCAAGAAATTATATCTCTACCTAGTGGTGTAAATCATGTCATTTTTCCCTCACCTCACCACAACATGAAACGATTGAGCGGGTCGTGCCAGCCACGTCTTGCGGCCCGACCCATATATATTTTTGTATTGTATATATAATATATAATAATTATATAATATATTAATATATATAATTTTATTTTAAATTTTATTATAGTATTTCATCTTATTATTGCATATGTAAACAATTGTATATTGCATATATTATTTCATTTTTTTTTATTTTTCAGTTTTGTGATATTTATAATATATGTTATAAATAAATATATAAATATATAGTATAAATACTAGAGATGTGTATATATATATATATATTATAAAAAAATAACAAATTACATAATATATATTTATATTTTATTAGTAACTATCAATTAATTAACTAGATAGTTGATTACTAATCATATTCAGTTAACTAATTATTATCCATCAAATCTACCATTTATAGCATAAAATGTGAAACGATTCGGGACAAGAAAGAACCAAAACTATCTTAATTATTAATCTTGATAAAACCATGGAACCAGAACTGTTATAATCTGTTTGGATGGTTTGAGTTTGTTGGGCACATCTAACCCATTGACAACCCTTGCCTAACCTGACTTTCTTTAATGTTCCTACATAAACCAAACCTGAGCCAACTTATTATAAGATACATTTTTTGAACTTGACCCAACTCAATAGGGTTCAACCTAATTTTGACCCAACCCAATCCACAACCTTTTAATTTTACTTTTATAACATATATTGAAAACATAAGATCTATTAATTTTATTTTTTTTATAAAATAAGAAATTATTATTTAAGGCCAAAAAAGTTTTTTTTTTGCAAAAATATTGTGTGAAGGAGCCTATGACCTATTGGAAGTTTGCATACACTTAGTGTGCAACCCACAAACCAATCATTGGGTTGAATGTGTTAATGGTTCAACCATCCGGATCAAACAATTTTTTATTAATTATCGGATTTTGAGAGAATCAGACCCGAAAGCATGGTTGTGTGATGGTTCAGATAGTTCGAGCAATCAAGCCAATTAGGAAGGGCTGTCAACGGGTCGAGTTTGGGTCGAAAACCAACTAGAACCAGAACGACCCAACATGAAATGTGGAGGACCCGGACCCATAGGGTTTGTAAGTTTTGGACCCGAAACCAAACCATTCGATTCTCAAGAAAATCGAGTCTGACTCGACAAACCATATTATAATAAATAAAAAATAAATATATATGTTTATATATATTAAATATTCTATATATATTGTACAATATAAATTATACGTATAGTGTATATATATATATATAATTTCATTTATTATACATTATATACAATGTATAATATATTAAACAATATATATACATTATTTAACCGGGACTGAATCGGTTCAGTACAAGGTGGAACCGG